TGGCCTGGATCCTTGGGATCTCCACTCATACCCTACAAAGTCATGGGTGTGGTGGGGGTCAGTCCAGTTCCTGGACTAGGGCTCTGAGAGCCTCTCCTACTTGAATAACTGTAATTGCCCCTTCTGGCTCTCCCTGCTTCCAGGGGAGCTTTTCAGAGCAGACCAATCATTGCTCCCTGCCTACACCTTGTCAATGACATCTCCCACCCATTGCTCTTGAGACAAAGACAAAAGTCCTTCCTATGGCTTCTCAGATTCATCAACTCCATGAACCAGGCATCTCCCATTAACTTTCTGGATTCCAGACACATAGACCGCTTCCAGTTCTGCAAACACAAGTCCTCCTGCCCAGATCCTTTGCCCTCTGCTACCTCTGCCTGCGGGGCTAATAGCATGCTAGATTGAGGGTACTCTTTGAAGGAAACAGTGGTAGCTTGGCACAATGGCACAACAAGGGACACAATAAGGCCAGAGAAGGTTGGAGTCTGATTGGGAAGGATCATGAAGGCCAGTGGGGTGGGGATGGGATCTGTCATGGGCCACACAGAGGTTTTCCTAATTCCCACTCCAGGGCCTCTCTGGATTTCCTAGAGACACCAGCCTGGGGTCCTGGAGAGGGTATTGGGGGGCAGTCCAGGAGGAAACATTTATCAACAGAAAAGTCCCTCCCCCCCCCGGGCATCTATGAATGGTAACTCGTGGAATGGCGCTGCTGCTACTCTACAGAGAGGGCACATGAGACACCACTCTAGAGTAAACGTGGCAGGTGTCCGGGCTGGGCTGCAAAAAGTGCCCAGCCTGGAAAGGACATCCTAAAGTAGGAAAGCTCTCCATGTCCTGTCACTCCAGCTGGCAGCCTAGCCTGGCAGGTAGGCAGAAAGGCAGAGGAGGTCCACAGCCCAAATGTGCCCCTTCCCCTCCCTCAACACAGTCAGGGAGGCCTCCTTACAGGCCAATTTCAGGCAGATTCTGTCCTCATCCCAATCACATGTCACTCTGGCTGTGCCTCTGATGGCTCCCTGGCTTTCAGGATGGAAATCATGCTCCACGGCAAGGTCAGTGCTGGCCTGGCACTGCTTCTCCACCTTTCCACCATCCTCCTCACCCCATTCTTCCCTTCTCCTACCTGAAGTCAACCCACGATATCCTGGCTCTCGGCCCAGTGTCCTTGTCCTCCTTTTCTACTGGGCTGAGTTCTCTTCATTCATTAAAACTCAGCCCCAATCACGCCACATTCCTGGAAGCTTCTCAGATCCTCCCCAGGTAGAACAAGAGGACTCCCTCTGGGATCCTTGCAGCCCCTGGTTGTTCTTGGGTGGCATCTGTCACACAGGCACTGTCTGTCATGGTGCCCACAGCACTCTGCCCAGGGCCTGGCCCAAGGAGGTGCTGGAAAGCACTCAGTGAACAAAACAATGAAGGGCATGGGCCTACTTCCAATTGTTCACAGAAGACACCTGCCCTGCTGCTGGGCCAGAAAGTCACTCTGACTCCTCTGCTGTCGTACAACCCCCCAGCCCAACCCAGCACAGCCCAGCCCAGCACAGCCCAGGCAGAGGTGTCCCAGAGGGTGAGCTTGGTGTGGGCCCCGTCTCTCTTCTTGGTAGGTGTGTCAGAGCTGGCCTCACAGCAAGTCCAACAGAGGCACCAAGGCAGCTCTCTCGTCTCACAGCAACAGCCTGAGACCCCTGCCAGCCAACCAGGCAGAGGGAGAGGCAGATGGAGTGTGGCTGTGCTTTGGCAAACTTGCTGCTGGCTCCCACCTATGGGCCTCTCTTCTGACCCCTCTAGAGAGACTCACTCAGTCAACACCCTATAGAGCTCAAGAGCTGGGAAAAGGCTTTCCCTGATGATCTGGTTTGCTTCCTCTTATCAAGCAAATGAGCTCCTTTTCTGCTTTCCTCTGGCTGTGGGGAAGCTCAGAGCAAAGTTTTGTGCTGCAGCTTCAACACTAGGGTGTCCCCAACAGAAACCCCAGCCCTACTCGGCTCTTCTCTTATTCCTATGGGCTTTGTTTAAAAAAAAAAGTGTGTGTGTTTTTAAAATCCTCACCCAAGAATATGTTTTATCATTCATTTATTTATTTATGTATTTATTTATGTTTAGACAGAGAGGAAGAGAATGAGAAAGAGAAACATCGATGTCAGAGAGAAACATCAATGGGTTGCCTCCTGCGAGCTCTCCAACTGGAGATCCAAGCCACAATGCAGGTTTGTGTTCTTGACTGGGGACTGAACCTGCAACCTTTTGTGTACAGGGTGATGCTCCAAACAACTGAGCTACCTGGGCTATAAATGATGTTTAAGTACGCTCTGACTGTGCAGGAATTGGGGCATGGATAGGAGAGGATTTAGAGTTGGGCACCTGGTCACCTCCATGAACAGACACTTCTCTACTGGGATGAGGGCCTCATGTCTGTTTCCTGCATTCCAGTGCTAGCTCCTTTCCAGGCAGGGAGCCCAGGTGTGAAAATCAAATTGCATCATGCAAGCCCCATTGGAAAGCTTGCTGAGAACTTCTACCCAGTTCACTTTTTTTAATAGAGGTAGAAAGAGTCAAAACTGGTTTTCATGCTCATAGCCAGTTTGGCTCAGTGGATAGAACATCATCCCAAGGACTAAAGGCCCTGGCTTAGATTCTGGTCAAAGGTATATATCTTGGTTGCAGGGTCGATCCCAGGTCCCAGTCAGGGCTCGTGCAAGAGGCAACCAATTAATGTGTCTCTCTCACAATGATGTTACTCTCTGTGTCTCTCCCCTTCCCTTCCACTCTCTCTAAAAATCAATGGAAACTTATCTTTGGGTGAGGATTAACAAATGACATGACATAACATGACATGACATGACATGACATGACATGAAAACTGGTTTTCAAGGAATGAAACTGAACCTCTGCTCTCAGAGGATGTTTTCCAGCCCTAGACCCCAAGCTGGGGACTGGAGTGACATACTACATGGGTGGTTCAATCTCTAAATCTTAGTTTCCACCTTATGAAATGAAAGGAGTGGACCAAAAGCTCCTCAGGGACCTATTGGCCACAAGCCTTTGTGGGCTGATAATGGGAAGATTCTAATGTCACATGATGCTAAGTGTTCAGGGGGAGGTTCTACAGCCCTGGTGTTTGGCTGGATGGAACCAGAGACACCCACTCCCTGATTTGCACTACCTTCCTTTATTTGTAGTAAGTGGCACTCCCCTCCCCATCACGGCGAGACCCAACAGGCGGCTCTGGTCACAGATGACAGCCATCTGCACACAGTGGGGTGGCATGGGGGTGGGTGGATGAGTGGGTATAACTCCTGCCATCAGGAAAATAGCTTGATAGTCCAGCAAGAAATCTCTGTTCCCGGGGTCCCCTCTTGGTAATCCAGCTTGAGCTCTCTGGGATAGATAGACAGATAGACAGATGGACATGCAGGTGGTTAGTAAATCTCAGATGTGGTGGGAAGAGAGGAAGAGAGCTGGGGATTGGCAAGTGGAAGGTGGGGTTTCAAGGCCCCTTAGAATTCCCTCCAGCACAGGCTGACAAGGTCCTGTCACCCAAGGGCACCCGGTTGTCCAGGGTCCAGGGCTCTGCGACTTCAGGGAGTTTGCTAATGCCCCCAACTCACCCTTAGTAATCTCTGGCTGCGGTGTTTTCTGTGGGTCTGAGTTGACCATTTTTGTGGGTCACACTGAGGGCTGGGTCACACATGTCTAAAGCATCAACCTTTCACCTGACTATCTCTAGATCCCAGGTACGGACAGGGGAGTGGAGGCCCCCAGGGACCAGCTCTCAGCCTCCTAGTCCCAGCCCTGGCCTGTTTGCGTGAGTCACCTGGTGGCACTGTAGTCAAACCCATGAGTCCTCAGTGTTCGCTTGCTGTCATCTGTGGCATCTGGCGGCCCCCAGAGCACGCCCTGGTAAAAGCGGCCTGAGAGACAAAGAGTGGTCAGTGAGGGATGAAGACACGGGGGCTGAGAGACACACGGCACTGCCTGTGCCCAGGCAGAGGTGGATGGAGGATGCCCTGCGCCAGGGTCATGGGCAGCATACCAAGGATCCCGTCGACGCGGCTGGAGAAGCGGTCAGTGTCCCGCAGAAGCAGCCGAAGCCCCTGCCCAGGGCCGTCCCAGGACAGCAGGCCGATGGTCACTTTGTCTGGGCTGCTGAGCAGCAGGAGCCCCGCCTTGTCCATGGTCATCGTGAGCCTGTGGGGAAACCCAGGCTCCTGAGAGCAAGGTAGGCATGCAGACACCCTCAGGGGACCCTGGCCGGTGGGGTGGGGTGGGGTGGGTGGGGCAAACCCTGTTGTGTCGTTGGGTGGGAAGTCCATTACATATTCTGAGCCTCAGTTTTCTCCTTAGCAACAAGGACCAATGTTAATTTAATGACATCTGGTGATCCCAGCATTTCTACAACAAAATAACGGTTCCTTTCGCTCTGTTTTCTTAGATTTGATTCCCCACAAATTCCTTTGATATGATTCTGGGGGTATCGGACACACTCTGCTGGAGCCACTTTGTCATATTCCTCCATTGGATATGTGCTTAGCCTGTAACTCAGGCTTGGGGTGATTCTCATCAGGTATGAGTGAGGAAACTGAGGCTAAGAGGGTCTAAGCAGCCTGCCCAGGATCACACATGATTAGCAGCAGTGTGGCTCCAACCCACATTGTTCCCTGCGCAGGAGAGTGCCCTGGGTTAGGTGTGAACATTCTGATGGAGAAGCCCACAACTGGTCCCCCTTGATGTGCCAGGCCACCCAGACCTGCATGTGTGGTGGCCAATGAAAGGTCTGTGGGGTGGATGTTTGAGTGTAAGGGTCAGTGCTCAGGAGCATGACCGTGGGTTAGCAGCCAGGTCCTGGGTGCCCCCCCAGAGAAAAAAAGGTATGGTTCTGCCCAACAGGTGGAGGCAGCCAATAGCTGAGGACTCATGCCCTGCCCAAGCACTTCATCCCGAAGCCTGTGGCCTCAGGCTACCGGTCAGCACTGTCACTAACGTAGCCTGAGACGTCACTGCTGGTACCCAGGCTGTGGCTTACCCAGGCATCACCACAAACCGCGTCTCCTTCCATTTGTACTCAGAGCTTCTTCGGCCCCTAGTCAGGACCACGTGCTCAGGGGACACATGGACCTGCAGCTGGGGATTCTTGAAAGTCACCTTGATCCAGGAGAACTGGGCCTTCTGCATATTATACTCCGCAGTCACCTCGAGACCTGAGAGAGCCCAGAGTAGAGGTCAGAGGCATGGCCTGGCTGGGCACTGGCCTGCACAGGAGGCACTCTCTGATTATGTCCTCCAGAACTGTCCTTCACCAGCCCCCTCCTCACTGCCCTGCCCCCAGCATTTCCTCACACTGGAGTCTGGTTTCCACAATCTTTTCTCTCATCCCTTGGTTGTATTTGACTTTGGAAGGACCACAAATCCTCAGTGATGGACAGGTTCAGATGAGCCCTCTGAGAAGGGAGATCATGTCTGAATCCAGGAACCGTTAGAAAGCGCTGTAGTGTGCCTGGCCCTGAGCTACGTGCCATGGCCAAGACGGAGTTGGAAAATCAGTGGTCCTTGCCCTCAAGGAGCAAAGAGACTTTAGGCCTGGTGTGTGGAGGTGGGAGACTGTGTGTGAGCATCCCTGAGTGCTGTATGTCCCCATGTCATACCTCAGCTCAACCAGTATGACCGTTCTTTCTGGTCAGCATCGCCCTCCTCTTGCCATTCCACTCCTCCACACTCTCTAAGGTCCCACTACTATCTTTCAGGGCTCTGGGCTTCTGCCAACCTCTGCCTCTCCCTAGAAAACCCCCGCTTGTCTGCCAAGACGCAGTCACTATTGTGTGATCCTGTGCAGCCTCATATGCCCCTCCCTCAGCCTGGCCTCCCCTTCTGGGCTTTTGCCTCTAGGTCGCTTTGGGCACTGCCTGCCTGCAGAGGGTTTCTCTGGAAGGTGACTGTTCAGGCCTCACCTTGGTCAGGGTCTGAGAGCAGGCGTAATGATGGCCCCGGGGTGCGCTTGATGTCCACGCAGACCTGGTCCACGCTCTGCCCCGGCAGAGGCAGGATGACGGTGGGAGCCTGGATGGGGGCTGGGGCAGCAGATGTGGTTGCTGGGGCAGGTAGAACAATCTGGAGGGCAGCGATGGGAAGGGGGGCAGAGGAGGGCAGGCAACTTACCTGGTGGTGGGGCTGTAGGGCTTGTTTCTGGAAGAAAAAGTCTTTGTTTAGGCATGTCCTTTTCAGAGTTCGGGGCCCGGCCAACGGAAGGATGGGATAGTGTATGGGTGTGGCCAGGGTTCCTTCTCCACTTCAACATTGAGAAACCATGTAACAGGTTCCAAGAGATCCCCAGGGATCTCCCATCCCATGGTCTCCCTTCTCTAGGGCCATAGTCCACTTCAGGGAATCTGGTCTGGCGACCTACCTTTCCTTGTGTAACGTGGATTATCAACCACTAAAATGGAACCACCGGCAGAGAGAGATGCTAGTACAGGAATAGCCAGAAACGAAAAAGGGAGAAGGCAGTCAGGATTCAGAGCAATCAGCTTCCCCTCCTCCAGCCATCACTGCCACCTACCACCCACCAAGCTCGAGCCCTGCAACCCCTGCCCTCATACACCCAACCCAGGAGAGCACACTTTAGGAAAACACTGAGGAGACAGGGTCCAGTTGGTGTTGTGGCTGAGTCTCAATCCAGCCTGGAGATCATCGGGCCACTCATGGTTTTGGGAATGGTGAGAGCCTTCCCTTTCTAGAAGTTTCTATGCTGCGCCAGGCTCCAGAGCGTAATGGGTCTGGTTCAGTGAAATACGTGACACACTACTTCATGTCAAGCCCCACAGCAACTGTCCCTGGTCTGTGCCCAGCCTGTGCAGGGTGCTTGCTCCCATTCAACTCTATAGGCAGGCTTACCTATCCCCTCGAGGAAATGAGTCAGAAAGTGGCTTACCTACCCTATTTGGTAGCCTCAGATCCGGATCCAAAGTAGAATATGGATAAATATATTGAGACGGAATAGGTCCAAGTGGTCCTCCTCTACTGCCGTGCAGGTCATGAACTTCAGTGTGCAGGAAAACTCCTGCTTTAGAAACATTGACATCTGCAGTCTCTGCTCAAGCGGAGTCATGGGTCCTCACCGCCAGGGCTCTGGGACCCACCCCGGGAGATGGATGTAGAGAGGACAGATGGCTCCTTTCCCCACACCCACTACTCTGAGAGCCTCTCCCTCAGCCCGGAGAAACTCAAAGCTGGGAAAAGGAACCCTTCCTGAACTCCTTCCCCCTGGGATATCTGTCACTTCAAACTACCTTGTCCGTTGATGTTTCTTCTGCCGCTAACAAAACGTCCTGCATGGCTGTCTCCTAATCACACACACTGAACTGAGACCCAGCCCAGCCACCAGCCAGGTGAGCCAAGCAAGCCACTCACCCAGACTCAGGGCAGAGCACAGCCTGTGGCCAGGCTCCAGGTTCTGTCAATCTCCCCTCCCACTACCTCCCCTGCTTTGATACCTGGTAATTTGGGCCCTGTGTGTCCCATGGCTCGATGTCTGAAGACAATGCGACCTGGAAATCAGAGAGACCTGGGTGTGCATCCAGCTGGATGGGGACTGTGCCCCTAGCGCCCAGGACAGCCAATGTCTGAGCAAACAGGTGTCTAAAGCACCCATGTGCTTGGGCAGACAGAGCCCCCTCCTGGCAGCAGGCTGGGCTGGAGAGGCCTTGGCCAGCAACTTTGTGAGACTGGGGTCCGAGGTCCTGATACAGCCACCCATCACCAATGCCAGCCTTTGAAGGTATTAGGCCCTTACTTGATGGAACCTTTTCTGGATAAAACAAAAAGAAAAGAGAGAGAAAGTGAGTGAGAGAGGGAGAGATATACCATCAGGGTACTTTTCATACATTTGAAGTGCTTATTTAAACGTTGCTTCCCAACCTCAGCACTACACAGCTGCAGTGCATTTGGGAGGGTCAGGAGACCTGGCCTCAGTTTCCTCAACAATGAAATGGGATGCATTTCCTGGGGTCCTGGGAGTGTTAGTGGCACGGTTAGGGTGTTGGTCAGGATGTGGGGAGGGGCTGGGGAGAAGACTGGGTCCAAACTCTGCTGCCACAGAGGCTAGGAGCCCACTCTCACACCCACCACTTTCCACGGGCTTCTCAGCAACTTGTTCTTGGCCTTCTGGTTTGGTGACCACCATGGACGTGAGGGGGGTGACAAAGCTATAGTTGAGCGACAAGCACAGAGCTTGCTTCTCCAGGGCCTTCTTATCAGCATCGGACGTGGAAACCCTGCAAGAAGAGAGAATCAGAGGCCCAGCTGGTCACTAGATGCCTAGCTCCATTCTCCCTCCTTTCCAGACCCTTGGGGATGGGGGGTGGGGGGGTGGGATCCCTACTGGTAGAGTCTGGAGCTCAGATACCACACCATGAACCCCCTCTCAGCATACATAGGAGATGCCCAGGCCACCTGTGCTGTCCCACCCATGAGGATCTTGGGAAGGCAATGAGGCCGTGTGTGGCCGCCCCAGCAGGCCTTAGGGGGTGCAGGCCACCCACATTCGCTCCAGCAGTTGATGGATGGTCAGGTACGCCCAGAGTCTCTCCATGAAGCCGTGGAAGATGTACTTGGGCTTTTGGAACTCCTCCTCCTGCTCTGCCACCTGGGACTCCACTTGGAAGGTGATGTTCTCTGTGGACTGGAAAGAGGGGCCAAGCCAGGGGGCAGCAGTGAGGGCCTGAAGCCTGCACCTGGCCTGGTACATCTCAGCTTTCCATGAGAAACCTAGTTGGGACTGGGCAGGTTTCACGAATAGGCCGTGACAACTGCATTCCCTTCGAATATGTGGGGTACAGGGAGGGCGTTTAGGGCTGTAAGGGGCTCAGCCACAGAGCCTCCAAGGATGAGAAGGACGTGGATAGAAGGATAGAAACTATCACAGGTGCAAAGCCAGGAATCCAGATCACATGCAGCTTTTGGGAACAAGGAAAATGAGGATGGGATCTGGGCCCCAGGCCAGTGCAGAAACAGCAGCAAATGCAGTTTAAACAGTAAGGGTCCCAAGAGGGCTCACCCCAAAGATGGAGACTCTGGGGACAGAGATACAAGTGCCTTCCCCAGCAGTCATGGCAGAGTTGGAAAGAAAATTAAGGCTTTGATAGGGTTTGGACCCCATGTACTCCATTAAGCTGCCCCTTGACCAAGCTGGTGCCCTTTGCTGAGACCAGGCACTGTGTCCAAAGATGTGCCCAAGTTTCAGGTGGACTGCTGCTTCCTTTCTTGAGGTGGGGCCTTCTGGTCTCAGGCTGACCTGGACAGCAGCCTGGGACGTGGGGCCTGTGGGCAGAGGAACTCCAGCCTTTCCTGTCACAATTCCCCGGAGGCCAAAAGGCTTTGTAATGTGGATCAGACCCCAACCCCGCTGCTGGAGATGCCCTCCTCTGTCTCTCACCAGAGCCTGGCCTCCCACACCTTTGTCACCTGCAGGCCACCTACACAAATGCCCTATCCACCTGCACAGCTATCTATTTGATGGTTTTCCTTAAGTGAACTTTAACTAGACTAACACTCTCCACTTGGCCTCGTCCCAAGCAATACGACCAGGGAAGTTGTACATCTGAGGTTGGAGTTGCATTTCTCAGGAGATACATTAGGATAAATAGGTAGTTATTCAAACAAAGGCATGTGTGACTCCCCCCCCCCCCCCCCCCCCCCAGTCACCCTGGGTTCCGCACTTTGGGAACTCCCAGCCTCCAGGACAACACCAGCAGCTAACATGTGTGGAATGTTTACCCTGGGCCACATGTTAATCCCACGGCAGTCTCACAAGGTGGTAAGATGACCGATTCTCTTTTCACATGGTAGGAAACGGAGGCATGGGGAGATTATGTGGAATCTCCAGGCCTCACCCCTCGGACGTGGCAAAGAGGGGTGAAAGCCAGGCTTCTGGTGAGCTGCATGCACTGCTCATTGTGACACATGGTACTTCTCTGAGACTCAGCCCTGGTCGCAGAGTGCCCGCCTGCCATGCATGCCTGAAACATTCCTCCATCACTTCACCATCTGGTTCTGCTGCCTCCTACTCATCCCACAGTGGCAGCTGAGTCCTGTCCAGGAAGCTCTCCCGGACCTACAGGTCAAGTTGGGTCTCCAATGCTGCTCCCAAGTCCCTGGGTTCATCCTCTCAGGGTCACCCCAGCCTCTGGGTCTTTCCTTGTGTGACGATTTACCCAATGCCTCTCCCATGAGTGCAGTATCCCTAGGGCCCAGGTAGGTCCTGGCTCACAGAAGGTGCTTAGATTCTCTTTGTGGAATGAGGGGTCCCCTGTGGCAGTGAGGCAGGGATAATTCGGCAAGGAGAGGGCACCATGTGGTGAGCTGGGGTGATTCTTGTTTGGGCTGCATTAGGCCCTAGGGCACGTTGGACCTCAGTCTGCTCATCTGTGAGTGGGAGGGATGCTAAAAGCAATCTCAGAGGGCTGGTGGAGGACAGAGGGGATGTCAAACCCGGTGCCCCAGGGCACAGCAGCAGCAACACAGACTGAGTACGCTGTGCCTACCACATGCAGGTAAGCTCAGGTGCTCTCAGGAGAATCAGGACATTATCTCATTGAAATTCCACCACCAGTGAGATCCAAGATGGTGGCTTAGGTAAACACACATAAACTGCTGCCGTGCACAACAATTTTAAAACTACAACTAAAAGACAAAACGTCTATCACCCAGAACCATGGTACAGCTGGTTGAGTGGAAGCTCTACAACTAGACTGAAAGAGAAAGGTACATTTAGGGCACAAGCGCTGAAAACAGGTATGGGGGCATGCATGTGATACGGACTGGTGGTGGATCCCGGCTGGCAGAGGGCATTGCTTTCTTCAACCCAAAGAAAGACAAGCTCCCAATCTCTCTGAAATCCAGTTTTTGGAAAGAAGCTGGACTGTCTGCCATCAGGTCGCAAAGTGAGGGTGGCTGGCTTGCAGAGCTGCGCACAAGAATAATTGTTTGATGTCCTGGGGCACGAGGTGTGGGGACGCAGTCAGAGACAGAGCCGGCTGACTGGCAGCCATTGCTGTTTGTGATGCCCTGAGACTCCACCCTGCACAATTTACACACCCAAGCTCCAAGCAGCGGCTTTTGCAAATGAATGGCTTTCTCTATTGCCGTTTAACCTATCAAACTTGCAACCTGGTGCAGACAGCTCCAAAGCCTCCAAGCTTCAAGCAAGGAGGAGAGGTCTGTGATTCTCGCTGTAGCTCCTGTAGGGTGGCCTCAGACAGTAGCTGAACTGCACACCATTGGAGATCCAGAAGCCAGTGTATCTAATGGTCAGTGTGAGACACCAAATTTCAACTCCTCTCATCATAAGTGACACATTCGGGAGGTGGACTAAGTGAGCACCATAGCCTCATTGAAACAAGGCCTGCACCATAATCGTGTCTCCAGCACAGTAGTTCTTCCATTATAGACACAGTGGGTCCTCACAGCCAATTGGTCTGGAGGTCAATTCCTCCCAGTGCACCAACAGCAATCAAGGCTTAACTACACCAAGACTTTGCACTTAGCTCACAAAGGGGTGTACCAAGAGCAACTACCATGGGTGATTGGGAAAGGTGAGCTACTGGCCCCTATAAGTCACCTACCACACAAAGCCACTCCATCAACACAGGGAGGCAACCAATATGCAGAGACAGAAGCATGTCGCGAATGGGAGAGAGAGAGAAAAGTAAACTATTGGAAGAAACAGAGTTCAGAATCACATTTATAAGGTTACTCAAGAATCTTCTAAAAACCGCTAAGAAACTTGAAGAAACCTTCAAGGACCCTAATGAGAATACCAAAAAAAATGAAAAAGGACCAGTCAGAAATTAAGCATACGCTGTCTGAAGTAAAGAATACACAGAAACTCAACTGTAGATCAATGTACCTCAAGAGTCAAACCAAAGATCTGGAATATGAGGAAACAAAAAACACCCAACCAGAGAGGCAGAAAGAAAGAAGAATCCAAAAGTGTGAGGATAGTGTAAGGAGCTTCTGGGATGGCTTTAAGCATACCAACATCTGGATTTTTAGGGTGCCAGAAGAAGAGAGAGAGCAGGATATTAAAGGCCCATTGAAAGAAATAATGACAGAAAACTTTCCCTACCTGGTGAAAGAAATGGACTTACAAGTCCAATAAGCACAGAGAATCCCAAACAAGAGGAGCCCAAAGAGGACCACACCAAGACACATCATAATTAAAATGCCAAGGGCAAAAGACAATGAGAGGATCTTGAAAGCAGCAAGAAGAAAAACAGTCACCTACAAGGGAATACCCATACCACTATTAGCTGATTTCTCAACAGAAACTATGCAGGCCAGAAGGGAGTGGCAAGAAGTAATCAAAGTGATGAATAACAAGAACCTACAACCAAGATTACTCTACCCAGCTATTATTCAGATTTGAAAGTCAGGTAAAGAGCTTCACAGATAAGAAAAAGCTAAAGGAATTCATCACCACCAAACCAGGATTACATGAAATGCTAAAGGGTATTCTTTAAGAAGAGGAAGAAGAAAAAGGTAAAGGTAAAAACTATGAACAGTAAAAAGACATCAAATACATACCTACCAACAAGTGAATCTAAAAATCAAGTGAATAAAAAATCTGAAAAACAGAATGGACTGGTGAATATAATAGAATCAAGGGCATAGAAAGGGACTGACAATTCTCAGGGGGAAGGGGGTCTGAGGGGTGCGGGAAGAGATTGGACAAAAACCTTACAAATGTGGATTGGAGAACCAAGATGGCGGCATAGGTAAACGCCTAACTGCAGCATCACACAACAATTTCAAAAAAATACAACTAAAATAGAAAATGGACATTATCAAGAACTACAGGAAAGTTGACTGACTGAAAATTCTACAACGAGAAGGAAAGAGACAACCAGAAGGAAAATCAGAGGAGCTGTAAAAGCGCGCGTGGGGAGGGGACAGAGCCGGAGAGGAGGGGGAGGTTGAGTGCCTGGCTGGTATTCCCTAACGAAAAGGAGATAAAAGCTCTGGACTGTGCTGAACCCCAGTTCCAACAGCACTGAACTGGGTGAGACCCTGGGAACCCAGGCTCATACGGAGAGAGTTTGGGCTGTAAGGCGGAAACCCAGGGGAGCGGCGAAAGGAAGTCCCAGCGGCGAAAGGAAGTCCCAGAGATTTCGCGTAGAGGACGGACTGTTGACTGTGCCGCTGGATTGCCCTAGCAGGAAGGAGACAAAAGCTCCAGACTGTTCTGAACCCCACTTCCAATCCCACTTCCAAGTGCACTGAACCCCAGTTACGGGCTCATTGGGGAAGAGCCTAGACTGTTTAGTAGCAGAGGAAACTCGAGGGCACCTTTCTCTCAGAGGTGCTTGTAGCGAGGACTGAAGGACACTGAGGAACACTGAGATTCAGGAACCTCATAGGGTGGGGCTGACAGTAAACCAAGGCTGTAGTCTCCACCCTGAAACTCCACCCCATCCAAGCTGAGCACAGAGGCTTTTGCAATTTTCCAAGTCTAGTCGAATAAGGCTGTCTCCTGGCATAGACACAGCTGATCCTCACAGCCAATTGGCCTGGAGGTCAGTTCCTCCCAGTGATACCAACAACAATCAAGACTTACCTACAACAAGGCTGTACACACGGTCCACAAAAGGGGGCAACAAGAGTGTCTACTTCAGATAACTAGGAGACTGACCCACTGAACCATATAGGACACCTTAGCACACAAAGTCACCCTACCAGTTCAGGGAAACTGTGAAAATGCCCAGACAAGGAAACAGATCACAAACGAAAGAAATGGAAGACAAAAAGCGACTGGATATAGAGTTCAAAACCACGCTTATAAGGTTTTTCAAGAATTTCCTAGAAAAGGCCAATAAAATAAACGAGACCTATGAAGATATGAAAAGGGATCAACTAGAAATAAAGAATGTATTGTCTGAAATAAAAAATATTATTCAGAGTCCTAAAAACAGAATGGAAGATCGCAAGAATCAAGTCAAAGATTTGGAACATAAAGAGCCAGAGGACACACCTCCACAGAAGCAAGAAGACAAGAGAATCCAGAAAGTTGAAGGTAATGTAAGAAGCTTCTGGGACAACTTCAAGCGAACCAACATCAGAATTATGGGGGTCCCAGAAGAAGAGAGAGAGCAAGATACCAAAAACATACTGGAAGAAATAGTGACAGAAAACTTCCCCCACATGGTGAAAGAATTAGACCTACAAGTCCAGGAAGCACACAGAACCCCAAACAAAAGGAATCTAAAGAGGACCATACCAAGACACATCATTTAAAATTCCAAGAGCAAAAGACAAAGAGAATATTAAAAGCAGCAAGAGAAAAGCAGATTGTTACCTATAAAGGAGCAACCATACAATTGTCAGCAGATTTCTCAACAGAAACCATACAGGCCAGACAGGAATGGCAAGAAATATTCAAGGTGATGAATAGCAAGAACCTACAGCCAAAAATACTCTACTCAGCAAAGCTATCACTCAGAATCAAAGGCCAGATAAAGAGCTTCACAAATAAAAAAAAGCTAAAGGAGTTCATCACTGCCAAACCAGAATTATATGAATTGCTGATGGGGGTTCTTTAGGAAGAGGAAGAAACTAAAGATAAAAATTATGAATAACAAATACGTAACTATCAAGAAGTGAATCTAAAAACCAAGGGAATTAAAAAAAATCTGATGAACAATATTAACTGGTGAATATAATAGAATCAGAGGTATGGAAGGCGAGTGAACTGATGATTTTTGGGGAAAGGGGAGTGGGGGGTGCGGAAAGAGACTGAACATAAACTGTGCACCAATGCATGAGGACAATGGGGGTTGGGGAAAGGGCAGAGGGTGGGGTAGGAACCTGCAGGAGGGGAGCAATAGAGGGAGAAAAAAGAATGAGGAACATTTGTAATAATATGAATAATAAAGATTAAAAAAAAAAAATACACCTTACACCTGTGGATGAAGACAGTGGCAGGGGAATCAGGTGGAGGGGAGTTATGGGGGGAGGGGGAGGAAGGAACACCTGTAATAATCTGAACAATAAATATTTATTATATAAAAATAAAAAAATAATAAAATCATTATATAAAAAAAGAAATCCCACCAGCAGCCAAGCAGTGGGGACTGAGGTCATCCATGGTGGCAGGGGGCACTTTGGAACTTGCCCAAGGTCAGTCGACTAGAGTCTGACAGGGCTGGAGTTTGAACCTAGCCCCTCTGAATGCCTGCTGCAGCCACCCTTCCACACCAGGAAGCTGTCCACACTCACCAGCTTCCCGCTGACTTGGGCTGAGAGCACCTCAGGGCTCTGGGCCTGGAGCTTCCCGGCCACTACCATCTCGGAGCCCTTGAAGAACAGCCGGAAGTTGTGCTGTGTGACTTCCTCCACAACACTGCCTGGGTACTCGAAGGTCACAGTGGTCAGCAGGGGATTGGCCACCTCCTGGTAGAAGTCCTGCAGAGTGGGGGGTGTCACCAGGGCCGGGCAGGGTCATCCCAGACTCACCCAGCCCTCAGGGGGAGGCTGGCACCTGCAGCTGCAGGGCGGAGTCCGAGTCCTCGTAGATGCGCCGAGCCAGGCCGCCGTTGTCCAGCGCCAGCTTCTCCAGGAAGGCGTAGCTGACGTCGAAGCCAAAGCCCAGGCAGAAGAGGCTGTACTGACCACCTATGGCCTCCTGCACATTCTTCTGGATCTTGCTGGGGTTGGTCTCGCCTGGACCCAGCGTTTTGGGGCAGGGGTGAGAAAACAGGGATTTGCTCAGGGGATATTTGGAATCTCAGAGCCAAAGAGGCCTCAGGGACCCCTCACTTCCCTTGAACCACTTGCAGCACCAGTGATGCCCCCTGGGCAGTGTGCCCTGGAGTTGCGCTGTGCCTCACCCACAGTGGGGTCGCCATCAGTGAGGAGGAGGAGAAGGGACACGCTCCCTGAGGGCAGCTGCTCCTCCCGGGTGGCTGTCTCCAGCAGCTGCACGGCCATCAGCATCGCATCGTTGATATTGGTTCCTGAGGGACACACACTCTCAGGATGCCTCGCAGGTGGGGTTCGTGTTTGGGGCCCCCATCCTGCATGGCTGCCATGGTGCTCACCTCCATGGGCCTTGAGGGTGTTAGCATATTTCGTGGCCTCCTCCACATTCTGGGTTGAAGCTGGCACCAGAGATGGCTTCCACTGGGTTGCCTCCCTGCTGAAGGTAATGAGGTTGAAGTGGTCTTCGGGCCTGAGGTCCTCTAGGATCTTGATGAGGGCTTCCTGAGTCTGGTCAGGGGAAGGGGAAACAAGGTGGGTATCTCAGATGTCCTCCTTGGGGGCTCATGTGTCCTTGGGCGGAGCCCCCAGGCCCACACCTGCAGTGGGAACATGGTGAAGGCCCCAGTGTTAGGAGCAGCTCTGACCTCGGTCTCTTGAAGCCTCCTACCCGGAAAGATGGAGAGGGGAGGGTCTGCCTGCTAGACCAGAGCTGACAGTGTGAGGCAGCTGAGAGTTTTCAGGGCCCTGACCTGCCTAAGGTACCCACCTGCCGGATTTTCTTGCCCATCATGGAGCCACTGGTGTCAATGACGAAGATCACATTCTTGGGTATCATGGACGGACCCTCTGGGGCAAAGTAGTGCACAAAGTAGCCATTCTCGATCTATGACCAGAGTGAGACACACCCCAGCTGATGAGAGCTGCAGTCCTGCCCTGCCCTGTCCCACCCACCTCCTCAACCCAAATCCCCGGGTCCCATCCTCTTTTCATTTAAGCTCCTCAGTCACAGTCCTACTGCTAACCTCCTCTAGTCCAGGACATCTTTTTTTTTAAGCTTTATTGGTGAAAGTATTACAGATATCCTAGTTTTTCCCCATTGGCATCGTCTAGTCCGACATCCCTCTCCAGTTCTTCACCACCCTATTCTCTGTGTCCATGGCTTATGCATATATGTATACAAGTCCTTTGGTTGGTCTCTTCTCACTCACATTCCTCACCATCTCTTAGGACTCAGTGGAGCTACTCTTTTGCTGAAAACTTCCCTGCTATGCACGACCCACTAGAACTCTACTTTGCCTGCTATTTGTTTGAATAGCTGAGGCAGTTTAGAGGTAAGAAACCTTCTTTAGCAGATGAAACTTTTCTGCTTCCGAAAGAGAATTCTTTCAGGGACAGCAGAAATAAACTGCATGTTTTCTGTCTGTTACCCTTGGTGCACACTGACCGGCAGGAGCCGGTTTTTTTGTTTTTTGTTTTGGCTTTTCTTGTCCAACAGCCAGGCTCAGGCTCCAGAGGATGGGGGATTTCCTGGTTATTCTGCTCTCCCTGGAGCCCACGCACCTGAAGGGAGCCTCCAGAGAGGGTGCGGTTCACATCATAGCGGACGATGAAGTCGCCATCCACCACTGTGTCCTCTTGCTCTGCAGACTTCCGTTGCTGGGACAGCGTCGGCTTGAATCGGATGTGAGCCTGGAGGAACGACCGACTGGGCTGATGTTGGGGAGCAGCGAGGTCATGCTCACATCCCTCACCCCATCTGAGAATCACCCAGGCTGAGAATTCCACCTTATGTCAAATGCCAGGGAACTTTCTCTCACGCTGGGCTGTCAGGTGGGCGGCCTCAGTACAGAGGATGGGTGTGAGCGAGGAGCCTCTGCTCCGGAGCCATGCCAGCAGAGCCTGGGCTCAGGATGTGTGTGATCCAGCCTCCAACCTTCTCCCTGGTCCTGGGACCCTCAGGTCAGTGTCCTCTCCCAGGAGCCCCCAACCTCAGGTGCGAACCAGCGCCCCCTCTTCTCTCTAGGCCTTGCCCTCCTCATCTGCCATATGTCAGCGCGGACACAGATACCTCAGAAGCTCGCCAGCTGAGAAATACTGCCCAATTGTCCCGCTCTCTGGAGATCCAGCTCATCGGGCTGGCCTGAAGACAGGCCCCTCGGTACCCATACTTCCCACCCACTGTGGCAGGCCTACCTTGGTCTGGTTCTGTGAGACGGTGAGGGCCTCTGCAAGCTCATTGGTCATGAAGGTGCTCTCTGTCTCCAGAAAGCTGATGCCCTGAGTCTCGAAGATGTGAATGTCCATCTGGAAGAAGAAATGGGTCACAGGGTTAGCCAGGAGCCAGGCCTGGGGCTCTAAGGAAGGTCTCCACCCTCGGCAGCACAGGGTCCTCTAGGAGGCTCCTGGGAGGAGGCAGCTCTGGGTACCTGCAGGTGCTTGACCAGCTGCCGGGGCTGGACTTTCAGCAGCAGCTCATACACTCCCAGACGCCGCTTGAGCAACTCCTCATACACCAGCTCGAAGGTGACCTTGGCAGCGGGAGCCACACTGACCGATACCTGGAACTGCTCCATCTTTCTCCCAGTGGCCCTGGGAGAGGAGGGCATCAGGCCTGCCCCTCCAGACCAGGTAGGGTATGGACACTGGAGGCAGAAGCAGAACTAAAGGCAGGGACAACTTCTGCCCCACCCCACTGGGGTCTCCCACATCCCCTTGGGCTCACTTGACAAGGCCAGCGCTCTCCCCCCTGGCCACGGCCGCACTGTACTGCTCCTGTGCTGCATCCTTCTCCTTGATGTTCCCTGGGTAGGTCACACCGTCGATGATCCTGGGGCAGGAGAGTAGGTGCTGTTCATAGTCTGGTGGTGGGGTGGGGGAACTCTCTCCAATCACCTCCTCCTCCAGGGAGCCTGTCTGTGACTTGCTGTGCCTCCTGCTAGAGTGACTCCTACCTTTACCAGATCTCACCCATTTATTGTGTTCCTACAGTGTACAAGACTGTGCAGGAGCCTGGGTAAGGTTGGGCAGCCTCTGCAAGGTGTGCCAGGCCTCCATCTACCCTGAGGCAGGCACAACCTAAGAGAATATTCTTTTTACTGAACAGACAGGAGAGGAAGGTTGCAAAGGAGGCATGGCTGCGCTAAATCCTGGTTTCTCTTCTCCCTTCTGCTCTGGCCCCACATTCCAACTGCCCCTGTCCCTCATAGACTGTCCCAGAGGTACCTGCCCACCACCAGCAAGTGCTTTCTGAGCTGTGTGTGCACCCATCCCTGGGGCCAGCTCTGTGGGGCAGGCTGAGGAGGAGGGAGATGCCAGGCTCCCCGGACAGTGGTAGGCACAGGGCTAAAAGGCTTGAACCCTCTTCCCACCAGCACAGGGCAGGGAGGAATGCAGAGGTTGGTGGAGCGAGGGGTGAAAGGAGGAAGGGATGGAGGGACAAATGTGATATGGATGGAGATGGAAGGAGGGATGGGGATGGAGGAAGAGAAAAGAGGAAGGGAGAGCTGGAAGGATGAAAAAAGGGAGTGGGGGATGGCTGGAACATCTCTGAGAATAAGTTCCTTATAAAGCCTCTGGTTCCCTTATCTGCCTGCAGATGCACACAACCTCATGTCAGGAAGAAGTCCTTTCTCCTGAGGGACATGAGGAGAGGGGATGGCAGTGCTGGTTGGAGAGAGATGCAGAGGCCGGCGGGAAGGCACCTACATGGAGAAGTTGGTGATGAAGGCTTTCTTGGGCAGCTCTATCTGGAAGGTGGCCTCCTGCATGGAATCCGCTTTGTTGACCACCCTGCTGGTGATGACCGTGTGGGCAAACCGAGAGGAGACCTTGGAGTCCACAGTGAGGCTGTAGATGTCGATGGCATTCTGGAGCAGTGAAGAAGGAGGGGGGGGGGACTGTCTCAATGCCAGCCATGCCTGTAGCAATGCTCTTCCAGAGCCTGGCGTTGACCTAGGTCCCAAACCAAGCCTGGCCCGACCCCCACTGACTATGGATGGCTCAGGCAAAACCCTGTGCGGCATCTCACATGTGGATCTTTCTCTCAAATAAGAGACAGCTCTGTGCTCCATTCCTCAACTTACACTGACAGGGGCAGGGACCAGTCTGTCAACACACAGAGGGTGGAAGGTGGAGCATGAGCCCCAGAGTGTCTGGGAGTGGACTCCCACTTTTCCTGACCCTGATTGGGATCAGGAAGCTCACAGGCTTAGCTCTGAACAGTGTAAGGGCAGCAAACAAGTCCTTTGATTTCTGGCAACCAGAAGTGGAGGAACACAGCTCCTGCCAGTGTCCACAGGGGCCTCCAGGAGATGGGAGAAAAGAAAGGAACCAGGGTCCAGTCTCTAAGAGCTGGGAATGTTCTTTTGCCCCCTTTCCCTGCACCCGTGGGCCCCATCCCCAATTGCCTGCCCTGCAGCACAGGCTCTTTCCCTGCAGAGACGGTCGGTCCCCCAATTCACTGACCCAGGCACTTGCTCTTTGACCCAGGTCTAAGGTTCACATATGCTCACATAAGAAGCCTTACACATCTCCTGCCAACCTGCATATGACACACTATGCAGGCTCCGTTCACCTGCACACACAGCCTAGCAGAAGTGGGTATCTGGCTGATTGGCTTGTTACACACGTGAGTGTCTGCTCTGTGCCAGGCAAGGTACTAAGCACTTCATAGTGTTACAGGTTCCATCTCCACAACAAACCTCCAAAAGGGGTCTATTATTATCCTGCTTCACAAATGAGGAAAGGGAGACAGGAAGCATCATTACCTTGAGGCCATTCAGCCAAGGAGTGGGCGAGCTGGGCTCACCATCCCACTCCTACCTCCCCCCACTGCCGGCCTCCACGCGAAACTTGCTAACCTGCAGTTCCCCACCTGGAAATGGGAGTAGGATCACCCCTTCTAGCAAGCAGGGAGAGGAGAGGGAGTGTCTATAAAGCCCTGGGGACATGCCTGGTGAGGATCAGCACCATATTTTTGCATACACACAGATCTGTGCTCATTCGCACACTCACCCTCACACAGGCTCTCACTCATTCACCAGCTCATACCACTCACACTCTGGTGCGCACACAGGTGCCCAAGGCACCTGCTACCTTTTGGGCATGGGTGGTCTGGAGGACAGCCAGCAGCGGCAACAGGACCAGCAGGATGGCACAGTTGCGGACAGAGGCTGGGGGCTTCATTTGGGCCCAGTGCCTGGCAGGCTGCTTCTGAACCTGAGAGAAAGAGGGGAATGAATTAGTAACCTGCTGGCTGCTCCGCCCCTCCGGGGGCAGGTCCCAGGAAATTGGGATCTACAAGCCAAAACCTGCAGTGGACTCAGATAAGCAGGCCAACTGCAAATGTCCTGTGGACCTTGGCTGGGGGCAGACACATGTACAATAAGTCCTAGTGTCATCAGGATAGGTTCTTGGAAACGGCAAGTTTAAGTGAAATGGCGTATACCTGAGAAATGAGCTCAGTTCCTGTGGCATATTTCTGGTTTCAAAAACATCACCAAACCTCTAAAAAAAAAAATTCCAAAAATTTGAAGTCAGCCTGAGCTTTACATATATTTAAGAAAAATTCATAAAGATAGGTTAAGATCCTACTTTTCCCTCTTGCTTATTCCAGTTTAGGGTCTTGATGCCCAAAGCCTCTCCCAGCAGCTCAGGGTGTAAAAGATGAGACCCCAACCTGCATGGGACACCGTCCATTGAAGGTCAACCTTCCATACACCCACATTAGACTGGAATGATGGAGATACACAGGCTTATCTCACATGCACATCTTTAGGATGTGGGAGGAAACCATGCAGAAAACCCACAAAAACATGGGGAGGACATGTAAACTCCACACAGTGGCCCCCTCTAGGAATTGAGTTTTTCTTCATCAACATTATAAATCAAAGAGGTTGAATAAAATAACCTTATTCGAGGACCTGCTACACTAGGAAAGGCAGGCTCAGGTGGGAGCTAGGTATGGGCATACCTTCTGAAAGGTCTAGAACACATGTGTCAAACACAAGGCCCGCGGGCCAAATTCGTCCTGCCAGGCCTTGCAATGTGGCCCGCACTGCGCTGTCATCACTGCACTCCACTGTGTTTCCATCACAATGACAGTTTATGACTGTTCAGTAAACCATTCGGCCCACAATTTAGGCTGAATTTTAGATTTTGGCCCCTTCTCTGATTGACTTCGACACCCCTAGTCTAGAACCTTCCCAGGTCACTATTACCCTTTACACCAGTTGGTTCACCAACAAGCACCCTGGGGTATGGGGACACAACTGGGAGCCAGCCCACTCTCCATAAGCCCAGCCTGGAGGAGAAGGAGACATGGCTGGGAAGAGGAGGGCGGGAGGAAGGAGCCTGCAGGCCAGGTGGGTGTGACTGGGCAGTGGGGCCTTACAGGCCCTGAGCACTTCTTGTGATGTCTGAGAGGAGCTAGGCAGAATGGATCTGCCTTATTCCTGGGGTGAGAGAGGCGGGGCCTAGAAGACCCCTTCTCTCTCCTGGGGTTCAGGCCCCATTAATCTAGCCAGGACTCTGGCTTCAATTCCAGCAAGGCCCCAACACTAGACGTGCACCTTGGCAACACAAACTGAGAGCCAAAAAGGTACCCAGCCTTGTGGCCCAGAGGCCTCTCTCAGGGGACTTTACTGAACGAGAGGAACAAACAAGAAGGGACAGAGCTCCTGAAGGGGCTAGTCAGTGTGCTGGCCTGTACACACGGACCTACATGGAGGCAGTCATGCCAAGGGAGTCCACGAGTCATGGATTGAAGGAGAAAGGGCAGATGGCTTCTCCGTCAGCACAAGGCAGTACCTTGTCATGAGGGAGGCCCCAAGCCTGGGGTAAGATTACCAAGGACTTTAGATTTTCCTTTAATAAAGTTGAAATGCTTTTTATAAAACAATTGGTTTTAGAGGAAGGGAGTCAGGGAGGAAGACAGAGGGAGGAAGAAGGAGGGGGAGAGAGAGAAATGAAGATAGAAAGAGACATCGATGTGGGAGAGAAACATGTACCGGCAGCCTCCTACAGACTCCCACACAGGGGATCAAACCCACCACCTTTTGAAGACTCTCCAACCAACTGAGCCATACCAGCCAGGGCTAACGTTGAAACGCTCTTAAAACAAATAGCAATAAAACAAAACACAGCTGGCGCGTGTATCCCCAGTGGCTCAGGGAAAGCCTAGCTCCTGGGCCAGGAGCCACTGATGGGGTAAAGATGCTGCAGACAAGTGTGGCCAGGTGCCACATCCTGGGCTGGGGAAGGAGGACTCCATGACACTAGCTCTGGGGAGAGAGAGGGGCAGTTATCTTGGAACCCTGGGCAGTGACTGGCTTGCAGAGGGCTGGAAAGGAGTCTCCTCCATCAGCCCTGCCGTGGCCAGCGGCAGTCGCATCTGGCCCTGGGAAAGGGCATCCTGGACTTTGGTGCCGTCTGTGGCTGCTCCCCTTCCTTCTGAGGACTCCAGCCAGAAGCCTCGTCTCTGTGTGTAACGGCACCACTCGCCCTCTGGCTCTGACACGATTGGCATTACACAGGGTACATACCGCCTTCTACACGCTGGGGGAAGAGCCTCCCCAAGGAGCCCAGTGAGCTGGCCCAGGCCCTGTCCCTCAGAAGGTCTGCTCCCTCAGGGCAGAGAACACAGGCCCAGCCTGGAAACAGCTATATAAGGAGGCCAGGCCAGGCCAGGGCGTGGGAAAGGCTCAGAGCCGCCAGCTCCACCTGCCCATGGGACAGGCAGGGCTTCCCTACAGGCACAGTCCTGAGCCAAGCATGGGAGCCCAGGCCCTGCCAGTCCAGCCCTAGACTGTACGAGGTTTTGCTGTGACAGCTGGACGGACCTCCGTACTTCCTGAATCTGAAAGCTCCATGCACACAGGGGACACTGCAGCCACCTCTCGCTGTTCACTGAATTCAAGAGGAAAAAATGACACAAGCCCAGAACCCAGGCTGCCCAAGGCGCAGGCAGAGCTGTGAGCATAGCAAGGGAGGGTTCACCTGGAGTTGGAAGAGTGGGGAGTAACTCAGGAAGCAGACTGCCCCTGGCCACAGGAGCCTCGAGTGGTTTTGACTTTGAGGGATGGGAGACGGTGAGAAGGCAGAACAAGGGTGCGGGGGCGAGAGCCTGCTAGGTCTCTGGCTCTTGCAGAGGCTTGGGGTCCTTTGAAGCATCTTACTGGCTTCTGTGGAAAGCAGCGGGAGGGGGAGCCCAGGCCCCACCAGTTTCACTCTGTACATATGGCCTGGTTAGTGCAATGGGCCTCAGCTCAACTCTCCTGTCAAATACAAGGGGGAAACGGAGCTCAGAAGAGAGATGGTCTAAGGTCACACAGATCAGCCCCAGATCTCCACACTCATGGCTCTTTCTAGGGTAGAGCAGTGGCAATAGCACCTCAGGATCACGTAGGTCCCTCCCAAAGACATGGACTGGTAAAGAACATGCCCTACCCCACACGTAGGGGCCATGCCAGTTCCAAATAACACTCTCCAAATGCCAGGGTCGCTTGGGCATCCTCTTTATTGGTGTTTCCCAGGGCCTGGAGCAGAGTGCCTGGGCTGAAGGGCCCTGGGGAGGGGGGAGGCGTGGCAGTCCCAGAGGTAACAGGTGAGCAGGGGGGTGCTGGCATGAAAGAGTTCTTGGGAAAGACTCCTGTGTCTCGGTGTTGGCAGTGTCCAGGGAAGTGGCGTGGCGTGTACTTCTCAGCCAAAGACACTCTTGGCAGGCTCAGCTTTCGGTTTATCAAAGACGGTCTCAGTGCCGGTCCGGGTGCGGCTGAATACAGATGGTGCGGCAACGCCGGCTTGCTCTGTGCGAAGGATGGGGAGGTTCAGAGGCCCAGCCTCCTGGCGAGGGAAAGCCTCTTTTGTGGGGAGCCCCTGAGCTCTGGACTCTTAGAAAAGACCCATAGGACCCCCCCCCCCATCCCACCCCCTCCTTCTGACACACATCTGCACCCCCTCGGCTCCCCATCCCCCTGGGGACACTCACCACATTCCTGCATGACCTGGTAGGTCTTGGACTTGATCGCCTGGTTCTTGGTCAGGTTCCCTCGGGCCCCCTTCAGGTCCTCCTCCTTCACAGGGGGGCGCTTCTTCTTGATGGGGGCTCCCTCAGAGCCAGCCTTGCAGAGACCAGAGCCTCCTTAGAACCCAGGCCTTCAGGCCGAGACCCGTTCCCACCTCTCCCTGCTCACTGAATTCTAGCCAGTCCAAGGCCCCATTCATCCAGGAAGCCTTCCGGCGATGAATCACCCCCTGACCCCCCCAACCCTAAGTCTCTCTGTCCTTTTCCACAGATTAGGAGCTGTGGCCTCACAGTCTGACTGGCTGGCCAACCTCCAGCTTGGGCCCAGTGGACAATAGGGAAAGGCGCTCACTTTGAGGCTGAATTACAGGCTTTCGGTAAATACCAAGACCTGTTCCCCAGGTGGCGGCAGGGGGTCCCTTAGGTTTGCCCCTCTCCTCTGCCAGGATTTACCTTGCGGGCTCTGGGGGTGAGAATGGGGTTGAGGAATCAGATGCCCATTAGGTCACATCCCCATCAGCATCTACCGATAGACAGACTGATCTGTCTGTCCCTCCAGAGCTGGGTACACCCAGCCTCAGTGTCTTCCCTCCCTCAACCCCTTCCTCCTTCCTAAGTCCTAGGGGCAGGCACAGACTCCCTGGTCCCTGAGCCTGGGCCGGTGGGCCACACAGTATACCCTATAGACACACATCCTGCTGGAAACAACCGGGCAGAGGGTACACCCTCAGATCCAGCCTCACATGTGTACAAACACATGTACACACACACACACACAGCTATAAACGTGCACAAACTGCCAGTCACACGAGCAGCTTCTGCACACACAAGATCTAGAAGTACCACACCTTTTCCCTACCCCTCCTAACAAGCCATGGACTGCCATAAACCCAAGCTGAACAGGGACCCTCAGATAAGGTGGGCAGGGACTCTCCTCCCTAGCCCCCACCTCCCAGGGGCTGCAGAGCTCCTATGTTTATGTCTGGAGCTCAGCTCAAGACACAGCTGCCAGAGTTGACGGTGTCCAGCTGTCCACCCCCACCCCCACTGTACCAACACGCCTGTGCTGGGCTCTCCTACCTGGGACATGGTGGGTGCTGAGTGAGAGCTGCTCCGTAGGCTCCTCTGGCAGCAGTAGCTGGTGGGAGATCTGAGTGCCCAGCCCTCTGGAGCTTATATAGTCCACTGCCCGTCCTGGGAAGTCACTCCCCCTGCTCCGACCGGCTCCCCGACCCCGATGATTCAGGTCCACACAGCCACTGGCTTCAGAGTTTATTCTCGGAGATGATAGGGGATGGCTGAGCACTTCTGTCCAGGGGGCTGCGGCCCTGGTGACAGCTGGGGAGCCTGCACCCTCAGAGACAGCTGCTCCACTTCCAAGCGGGAGGTGCTGGGACGGGACTGGCAGTGACTTGTGTTTATGAATGTAGATGCTGGAATGTGTGTGGCAGTAGGGGCTGTCCATCTGTGACAGTCCATCCCAGTGTGGGGTGTCCCCGAGAAAGGGAAAGCCCGGAGCCAGGCTGACCACTTTGAGCTTGTTTTTCTTTCTCTTCTATCCCTTCCCTGGATTCCAGAGGAAAGACCCCTCCCTGCACAGGAGGAGGGTGGACCTCCCTGTCTGTGTCTCCGTGCTCTGCTCCCTGCAAGCTCCCTGGGCTCGCAGGGTGAAGCACAGGGCATCCCTGGCTCACAGGAGGAGACTGCGGTCACAGGAAGCCTGGGGAACTCTCCATCTGTGGCTCTGCTGATGCCCCGTCCTTTGTCTGGCTCCCAGAGCACATTCAACAAAGAGATGAAGAGCATAAAGGACCAGGAGGAAACTATCTTGTGGCTGTGCGTGAGCTGATGATAGGCACAGCACTGAGCCTCCGAGACAAGGTCACCGAAGGGCCCCTGGCCTGAGGCACTCAGGCTGCCGAAGAGGTTGGGGAGAGTGAAGCCCATTGCAGGCATTGATGGTGGAGAAAGGGGCAGGCCGAGGGCTCACTCAGTTCTCTGCTGCTAGCTACCCGTCCCTGAGGGAAGACCCCACAGGACTCTAAGATTGAGGTGGGGTGGGCAGTATTATGAGGTTATTTATACTCGAAGGCTCCAAGCAGACGGGACCCAACCAGGCTGATATTTGGTCATCCCTCAAACCCCACCCAAATCCCTCCTGCCTGGTCCTGACCCCGGAGGCCAAGGTGAAGGATGCCAGGCTCCATCGGAGATGAGTGCTGACATGAGGCATGCCTTCAGACAGCTATGGGCACAGATGCAGGCTCCTAACAGGGGCCAAGAAGCAGCGAAGGCAGACTGGGCCTGTGAAGGCCCAGCTCCCTGGATGAGTGCTTCATCACTGCCCCCTCCCCAGCTGGCTCTGCCCAGGGAGGCACCTGCCTTCTAGGCCCGTGGCCTCAGGGACAAGACTGTGGGACTGCTCACTCCTCACACTCCATCTCCCAGCACCACTTGCTCCTCAGGGAAGCTTTTACTCACAATAGCAGGGAAGTGGAAATGGCGAGAGTATATTGGGGTTTTCTTCTCAGCAGATTTTGGTTCCCACATCTGCTCCAAGGTGATGAAAGGTCCGCTCTTACTGTTTATTGGGGAGAACCTTCCAACCCACTGGGGAAATTTTCTTGACTCCACTAAGCTGTTTCAATTCAAGAGAACACACACTAACAGCCACAAAAGTGATGGTTTCTTTAAAAAAAATAATAATAAGACATCAAATTTTATTGTAAACCATTTTACAATGTAAGTACATTGTCTTCCCTTTCATTTCAAAAATGTTTTTGTGAACCATAACACCACCGATTAAACACTCCATTAGGCAGACAGTAGAAGTAGGCCATGGTTTGCTCACATAGGTCTGGCTTCTCATAAACTTCATGCAAAGAGAAACCAAGTTAAACCGACCCACCGCCCAGGAGCTCAGGGTGCTGACGACAGTTGGACCATAGGTTCCCTCGCCGAGAACGAAGCCCTTCAGGCCACCAACATTACACTGGGTGAAACAGAGTGCTCTCCCCTCCTAGTTGCAAGTGTGTGAAGCTCCTGAAAGCTGCCCTACACCCTACAAAGTGGCTGCCCTGGCTGGTGGGGTGTTCCCAGTGCCACCTATGCTGGCCCGGATGCAAAAAGGCCAGTGAACTGCAGTGTGGAGGGCAGAGTGGGGGCCCCTCAGAGGGGACTCTGGGCAGCAGCCACAACTTACACTGCTGAGGGGAAGACACAACTTGGATTTGAGCCATTATATATTTTCCATGTAGAGGTGAGACAGGCCAACCTTAACCCAGGACTTCCTGTTGCCAGGAAGGGCGCAAGTTAAAGCTCGAGGCAGGTGGCCACCAGTGTGCCCGAGGGCGAGCCGATGGGCCACAGACTTCGCCTCGCAGGTCTGCAGGCTGCAGCCATGGCTTCCTGGAGCTCACCAGCACCCCTCCTTACATCCCCACACCACGGGCAGCAAAAGGAAAGAAGGGCCACGATAACCTCTCCCGGATATGGCAGTTCCGCCGCATCAGGTGATTTCCATTTGTTACAAGAAACTTGTCAAGACTCTGACTCACAAGTCTCCATCAAGGCTGCCTTGACCAAGGTCCAGATTTTGACAGTGGACAATATCCAGTCGGTGTCCTATGGTTTCTCAAGCACAGTGATGTTTGCTATGTGGCTGAAGAGCTGCACCTCATAAGGCACCTTGGAGCAGGTGGTGAGGAAATGTGCCCAGGGAGGGAGGACAGCTTGGGAGGAAGTATCGACAGACCCTCTACGTCCTCTACGTCCGCTCTCCCCGGGAAGCTCCACAGAAAGCCCCCATGACACAGGACACACTCCCAGAGAAATGATGTGTGTATGTGCATGTGTGCGTGTGCATGTGTGTGCATATGTGTGCATGAGGCCACACTGTCCCGACCCACACAGTGCAAGGCCCTCTGCAGTCAGACACCGTCCCCTAGTTAGCCAGCTACACAGCTGCAGCTCCGAGGCCAAAGCCCTTACTGAAGATCAGGATACAGGGAGAAACCATGTGCTCATGGCCTCTGTCCCCACAAGCCTAGTACCAAGTGGGCGCTGGGACGAGCCTGGAGATGGACAGATAACCTGAGTCTATATGACCCAGTTTCCATCTTCCACGGACTATGGTTCTTCTACCCCATCTCCAGTTTGGACACATTAGGAGACTGAAAAATGAAGCTCTGATTCTGAGCTCAGAAGGTACAAGAAAGAGCTGTGGACACAGGTTGTCCAAATAAAAATGAAATAGGAGCGAAAAGTAAGGAGAGGATGCGATACCACGAGGGACTGTTGTCTAACAGGAACACCAGCCTCAGCCTTCCCAGAGACTCCCACCAACACAGCCAGGGGATCGGAGGCGGCAATGGGCACAACAGGAGAGCGTACGCGGTGTGAGGAAGACGACCCACTCTGATCTCACATGAGGCCCTGCCCTGGCCTGGCCTCGCCTGCTGCAGTCACAGGTGCAGGCCCCTCAGCCCTCTGTAGGGAAGATGGGTGCGAGGCAGAAGACAGGCCCGGGATGCCTGGTTTAACAGCTTGCCTCATGTGTGACGATTAAGACCCAATCTTCCTAAGTGAAGACGCTGCTGTGTAGGTCTAGAAGGTTCTGGGCGGTGTAGCCTCCCTGCACCTGCCTCACTTTCAGCTCACAGCTCAGCAGTGGGTATTCTGTTCCTAAACGTCCATGGCTGCCTCGGGCTTGACACAACACTGGGCTGCTCCACCTCACTGCACCCACAGCAGGGCAAGCGCCCGTCAGCCCAATCCACTGCCAGTCAGCAGACTCCCAAAGCCACCGGGGCCTCTGCCCAGGCTGAGTGGGGGCCGCTGCCCAGGGTGGGGACACAGTTAGAAGCACCTGCCCTGGAGTATGTGAAAAACAGGACCATCTGGTCAGGCAGGTGTTCTCCAGACTCTTGTGCAAAATAAATGGACGCAATCGCAGGCCGGGGCAGCCTGACCTGGAGCTGGGTCCAAAGGCTGGTTCTGAAGGCTGCGCCAGGGGAGGCACGGAGGCTGAGGTGACATTCTAAACTGCGGACTCGGAGGTGCTGAGGAGAGGAGAGGAACAAACAGCACTAGCCTTACAGCCTCAATTTCTCTAGACACTAAGACCTCTTAGCCCCCTTTTCTGGTCCAGCTTAACTAAGACCTCTGTCCTGCCAGCAGAAATGCCAAGGAGCCTCGGGGCCTGGCATGCACAGGGGCACTGGACCCACGTTTGGGCCAGCTGCCTCCTGCTCAGGCCTGACCTTTACAAAACCACTGGGTTTGCTGACTCAGATTAAGGACCCATCTCCGTTCCTACTGTGTTTGCTACCCCATCTTATCATAGATTACTTAACAATATTGCAAATAAAAAACCCTCGACTTTTTCCTCCCACCATCCCATGAAAGGCAAACAAACCCATTTCTTTGGGGGTTAAAAAGACTTTTTAAATACAATAGTATGAAAATATAACTTAAAAATATAAAAGTCAACAGCATACGGAAGACTTAAAAATCTATGTTTTGCCCATTAGTCCCATAGGAAATAAACACATACTCAAAAGACATTAACATTGTGACATCTTGTAAAACTGACTTTAGAAATCAATAGTTATAAAAAGCCATTTTGAGTAAGAAAGCACTGTGGTTCCAACTCCGTCAATGAGTGACTTTTAGCCCCAAACCTGTTATGTCTTCACTCCTCCCGCCCTGGGGAGAGGCTCCACCCAGTCTGTGTGCTCGTGAGCTTTTTCCTCATGGCCACCCAGCCAGACACCCGACAGACACCGAGCCAGACATCTCACCTCGGGTCCCTCACAACACCACAGGGACGACAACAAAGGAAGAAAGCGCCTGGCTTGCATATTTGGTCAGTGTTTGTAGTGCAACTGAGTGGGGACCTCCAACAGCCGCGACCCGCTCGGCGCTGGCTCTTCCTTCCTCTCTGCAGTCACGGTCGCTGGGAGTGGGCAGAGCACGAGGACGGAGGTAGAAGAGGAGGGAGAGAGGAGGGAAGGAAGGAGGCTGCAGAGCAGCCGGGCCCCAGACATGACCCGCACAGGATGTGTCATACAGGCAGCCCAAAGCGGTGCTTCTTTTTCTTCGCAGGCCTCAGAGGCGTCAGTCTGCGGAGGTCCTCCTCCACGTCGGACTCCTCCATCTCGTCATCGGCCGAGATCAGGATCTGAGGAGTGGAGAGGCATGGCCCTGTGTCATGGCCAGCGGTGTGTGCCTCTTCCGCTGCCTGCCCTGGACCCTGGCACGGGGTGCCAGCCCCTCCAGGAGGCCTCCGGCTTGTATTTCTTTAGAAGAGCATGATGGGAGGCTCCCTTACAGAGGGGGATAAGCTGGCCCACCCAACACACCTCCGTGGGCTGCTGAGACCATGGCTGTCGACACGAGCACGCCGAGCACCTCAGCCTGGATCATGAAGCCCTCGCCCATTGAGCTCAGACCTCTGCCTCCCCGTCATTC